GACATAATGGAGAAAAAGGATTCATGTAGCCGACCCCACGTAGTGGGATAAAGGCTTGATGTTGTTGTTGTTGTTGTTGTTGTTCAACTTTTACATTCAGGCTTAGGACCAATATAATCAGTATTAAAAATGATAAAACTTTGGTAGTAAATTAGTTTATTTTTTCCTTCACAAAATGACTTCAATCATCAAATCACTTGATTTCTGCTAGAACATGTTTAATATATTAACTAAATATGTGATATTAAAAATCTCATTGAAAAAAAAATCATAAAATCTCTTTAAGAACGAATCAATATAGGATTAAGATAATATCAATCAAGAAAAAAATATAAATAAATTGGAAATTAAATTGGGACTGATTTGAATGGATGATCAATCTTGATCATGGATCATTTATTGGACATTTAAATGTCTTAGTGATATCAGAATTCAGAAAAAAAATCATAAAATCTCTTTAAGAACGAATCAATATAGGATTAAGATAATATCAATCAAGAAAAAAATATAAATAAATTGGAAATTAAATTGGGACTGATTTGAATGGATGATCAATCTTGATCATGGATCATTTATTGGACATTTAAATGTCTTAGTGATATCAGAATTCAGCAATCTTGGGTTCGTTAGATTCGTCTTGTCTAGCCGCTCGATTCGACTATAAGAATGTCATGTTTGGAAATTGTTTGGTAATACAAATTATGGTTTGAACCTTCCAAATATGCTTCAGGTCTTTGATTTGGAGTCATTTTGGTTCAGATTGAGTTGAATTTGATGTTGTTGGGTTCGTATTTTCGAGACGTTCAGTTCGACTATAAGTTTACTGAAATCGGAGTTCATATGATCTCCGATTTAACTCTCGAAGTTTCCAACTTGATTTTGTCTTGAGATTTAAAAAAAAATTCAATCTTGCCCCCCACACCCCCATGTATACAAATGAAAAATTTTAGATTCAAAAGTTCACCCCCGTAATTCAAATTTTATATCAACGGGCTCTTTAGTCTTATCAACAAAAAAAAAATATTTCTAGCAATCAGGTGCATTTCTATTATATTTAAATAACGTACATTTATATTAAATAATTTTCAAAATAATTAAATTGTAAATACATAATCAAATAATAAAATGAAAATTACGGACACTCACAAATATTTGAATTTAGCATCTTAAAAAATTGTATAAAATTAACATTATAAACTGTGCCTCTTTTTTCGCGACCTGCATTTGAGCGTACTATTTTGGCTAACCTAAAAAAAAAATTAAAAATATTTACACAACCACTCGAGTAAATATCATAATTTTTTATTTATTAAAATTTTAAGATAATTTTAATAAAAATATGTCGGATATCCGGCCACAATTTTTCCCCAAAAATTTTCCTTTCTCCGTTCCAAAAAAAAAAAAAGAGGAATACATCTTATAGCTAATTACTTATAGCTAATCTTAAAACAAGGTGCTCCTTAAGCGATTCACAAACGCAGGCCTCACCGCCGCGGAATCCCAAACGGCGGCAAAAGCATATCTCCGGTGTTCTCACCGCCGCCGCCGTCGACGAGTCATCGAAATAAGGCGAAGGATGCGGCGACGAATGGTAAGGGAGGCTTATTGACAAGTCGAGGTTGAGGTCAACGTAGTTTGGACTGCCGCCGCCAGAGCAGCTATCACTGTGACACTTGTTATCGGACGTATCGGTGGTTTCCGGCACGGCTGAGAAAATCTCCGGGGAAGTTAGAAAAGCGGCGGTCGCCGCGGTGATGGGATGATGAGTTTGGGGATCGATGCCGCGGCTGAAGAGCTTCCGCTTGATGTGCGTGTTCCAGTAGTTCTTGATTTCATTGTCTGTTCTCCCCGGAAGCCGGCCGGCGATGAGTGACCATCTGTGATTAGAAGAACCAGTTAATTATTTTAGAAGGGGCAGAAGTCTAATTTTAAAATATTTTTTAATAAAAATTTATTATCGTTTATTTTTTCATCAAGATTTGTTCACAAGTTTCTTATTTTTCAAAACATAAAACGTTTAATGAAATTGTGAGAAGATGAGGAATTTATTTGCTTTGATTGTAAATAAGTGCAGAAAATGAAATAAAATTCATAAAAAAAAAAAAAAATTAGCTCGAGAAATTCCTTAAGACTGGTTTCTTTTGATTGAATTGAAGGAAATGATATGAAATTTCACACAAAATTATTTCATTTATTTATTTACACGTAAATATTTAACATTTAAAATAGTATTTATATGTTAAATTTTAAAATTTATTTACTATAATAAATATTAAATCTGATTAAACTGAATAAATTAATATTTTAAAATTTAGAATTTAAATAAATGAAAAAATAATATTCATAATCACTCGAAGTAATATATAAATATCTTAAATTATAATTTTCTCATGATTTACCGAATCCAATATTTAACCTAAAAAAGGAGAAATTTTGGATAGAAAAGTTGATAAAAATTATTTGCTCAGAAAATTATTTGACGAATTTAACCCAAATTCAAATCTCTGCTAAATCTTAGAGCCGAACAGGCTCATATAGCCATTGATTTTAGCTTTTTTTACACTCTAATTCGATTATAAATACAAAAAAAAAAAAAAAAACCCTGTAAATTTCCTATCCAGAAAGCAGAGAAACTAACTTGTTTCCAAGGAAGCCGTGAAGTTTGATGATGAGCTCGTCTTCCTCCTCAGTGAAGTTCCCGCGCTTAAGATCCGGCCGAAGATAGTTTATCCAACGGAGCCTACAGCTCTTCCCACAACGCATTAAACCTGCATATACAAATTATATTTTTCTTTAACAAAACTCCTCTTCATCTTCTACAAGTTCGAAAAATATAAACACATGCAGAAGAACAAAAAGGAAAGAAACCTGCAGCCTTGGGGAGTGATCTCCAGCAACCTTCTCCATGAGCCTGGATATAGGATACAAGCCTCTGGTCTTCCTCCTTCGTCCAGGCTCCTTTATTTGTGTGCGCCTTATCGCAGCAGGGCGACCTGCCCATGGTGACGACTGAGTAAAAGAGAGAGAGAGAGCGAGAGAGATGTGGCGGAGAAGAGAGGGGAGGAGGAAATATAGGAGAGTGGAGGAGGGAGAAGGCATTGACTCGATCTGCGTGGATAAGGTGATTTTGACTGAATTGTGCCCAATGGCGAGTGGGAGATGGAGTTGGTAGGTAGCTCTGCTTTTTAGATGGAGGGAGCGTTAATGGTGATATGTGTTTGTCCCTACCACCGACATTTATTTACTTAATGCGCATTTACTTAAAAGGTTTCTAGAAATTCTAATTTTTTCATTTTTTGTTTATTCTGATGTAAAATATAATTATGATGTATTTAAAATTTTTAAATTTATATTAAGATAAGTATTTGTATAATTCAAATAAATTTAAAACCATCATAATATAAGTTATATTAGAAAATCCAGAATTATTTTTTAATGATTATAAATTTGAATAATTTATTCTATAATTAATCTCTTATTATTTCAACATAATGTAGAGAAATGCTTATAGAAAGTTATATGTTAAGGGGCTACTAGTTCAAGCTATATATTTTGTAATTTAACATTTTAAAAAATATAAAAATTTTGTTTAAGATATTTATTTAATTTTTTTATTTGGATAGATTTAATGCTTTTAAATTTATTTTACAATGAGAAAATAATGATTTTTTAATTCAATATATAACATGAAGTTGAAATAAATGTAATTATTTTGAAGTCATCATGATAAAGTTTTTATTAGAATCTTCTTATTATTATTTTTTTTAATTTAAATTCTTTTAGTGTAATGAGTGATATTATTATTATTATTTTAGATTTAGCCCAATTAAGATTTCTTTCGTGATTGCTTTTGTATTGTTTTATGAAGTAACTTTTTAATATAAAATTATCAAATTTTAAAAAATTGGTATTAAGAAAATGCTTTATAAAATAATAAGAAAGTTGTCCATAATTAAATCTTAGGCTTCATTTGGAAAGTCTTTTTTGCAACTTCTTAAAATTATTTTTCAGTACAAAAATCTAAACTTTTGTACTAGAAATAAGCTTTAAGAAGCAATACGAAAGTCATCACAGATGAAACCTTAGTGAAACTCACACACACATCACATAAATAAAACTCAAACTTTAAGGTTATGTTTGGGACGGCTTTCTTACTGCTTCTTAAAGCGGCTTTTTAGTATAATTTTTTTTTGTACTAGAAAGCAGCTTTATGAAGCAGGAAGAAATTTGTCTCAAACGAAGCCTAAATCTCTTGGTTGATGATCAAGCTCTCAACTAATAGATCAAAATGAGCTACAAGAGTCATAAAATTTGATTCTAACATATTATTTAAAAAACACAGACTCCTCTAATAAATACGTCACTGACTCACAATTCCTTATACTCCAATGACGAATTCTAGCTTTTGGTTACATGGGGGAGAGAGAATCTAAGCTGTTTGGTCACCAAACCTCATGGAAGTGAGTATGAAAAAAAAAAAAAAAAAAAAAAATTTATGATCGAAAGACAAATATTTAAAGTTGGAAAATAATTTTTAAAATTATAAGTAATTTGAATATAAATAAAAATATCGCCATCGATAAAAAAATTAATATTAAATTTATCATTCCATTCTAAATAATTGCATATTATTTTGATATATATTTTTGGAATATTGAGGTTGAATTGGTAAATTTATTGTGTTTTTTTTTTAATTTGCTTGAGGTGAGCATGATTAAAGAGTAGGTAAATTTGGAGGGTGAGGTAGTTAATTAAATCATTAAGGAGCTGTTGGAGGCCGGAGATGCACCATATGGTGAATATGCCTTATTTTTGCTTACTTTGTTACATGAAAATTACTATTTTAATTGAAATTGACCTTTGTGAAATATGTTGTCTTTAACGAAAAAGACACATCTATCCTATATGCAATCAAGATTGATTTTGGAATAAAAATGTGGGGAAATTTATTTATTTTTTTTAGGGGGAATAAGTCAAAAAATTTCTAACTTTCATGTAATGCCAATACAAATGAATTAGGTTTGAATAAATAAGATTTTTGAATGAAAGTTTAAATAAGATTTTAAGTATGATTATAATCATATTTGAATATGTTCAAACATATGCATGAGATATTCATAACAAAGTTTGAAAATGGCTAGTATGTTACTGGAATATGATTCGAACAAATCTCAAGTAAGATTCGACCTATTTGACCAAAATTCTATCAAGGTTCAAATAAGGCTTGATTGCAATTTGAAGAAGGTTCGAGGGTTCAACGTAGCCCTACATATGACATAAATCCATGGCTTAATATTGTTGCTATCTAACTTACACCTTTTGTTACCTGTATAAGAGGGGTCCTAAAGGGAGTCCTTACCTATCCCTCTATCTCTTATTGATAGTGATTCAACCAAGAAGAGTTTATGGAATGACCCTTTGTCTGATGTTACTCATGATACACTTCTAACACAATTGGTTCTATTTGACTCAATCCCTCCCGAAGATGGCACAAGAGAGAAATAGAGAGCAAAGAGAGTGTGTGAAAGAGATTGCATACAAGTGAAGCTATTTGGGCATTGAGTCGAGGTATGAATGAGGGTAAGTAAGCTTGCACATCATGAGAGTGAAGTAAGCCAAATGTATAGTTTGGTGAGCATGTAAGCATGAGATGACCCACACGTGTGTGTGTGTGTGTGTGTGAAGGATATTGATTTTAAGGCTAAGCAAGGTTTTCATGTGCAATATTTGAGGCTGACAAACGTTTAATAAGTTTCATTGACGCCAAAAAGTTGGAATTTTATTCCTCTTAATCAAGCTAAAATTTATGTTTTCTTTCTCACAAAAGTTTCCTAAATCCAATTTAGGTGTAGAGAAAAATTCCTAGGGTTTCAAACATCTAGTAGAAGAAGAATAAAGAAAAGAAAAATAATGATATATATATATATATATATATATATATATATATATGTACATTTGTACGGGCGGAGTCCGTTTGGTAACTCAAATTACGGTTTGAACCTTCCCACAGCACTTTGGATCCATTATTTGGACCCATTTGGGCTCGGATTGGGTTGATCTTGGTGTCCTTGAGTTCGTATTTCCGAGACGCTCAGTTCGACTATAAGCTTGCTGAAATCGGAGTTGGGGTGCTCTCGGAATTAATTTTTGAAGTTTGCAACTAGCTTTCGCCTCGAGATTCGTGCCCGATCAAGCTAATTTTGTGATGCCGTATCAAGGATGATCAATGAATATCTTTTTAGGATAATTGATTACACATTAAGCTAACCTTAATTAAGTTATATTATCTTGTATATATTGGGCTCATAAATGTCAATAAAAAAATAATTAGGTAATACAAGAAAAGCTAGTTTTAATAAACTACAATTACTATAGTGTAATGAGTTAATATCGATGCTTAATTTATTGAAACTAGTATCACTTTAAACAATTTTACTTATGATGACAATCATAACATAACTAATTTAAAGTTCACAGTTTCAATCCAATGGAACTGGAGCAGCTCCAATGGATAAGCATCTGATATTATACTAAGAACTCAACTTGTAATGAGTCTAAATATTTCACAATTTAGTTATTCATATTTTGATATGAAATAAAAAATATATTTGATCCTCAAGAAGATGTTTTTATTTTGTGATAACTAAATCCTGATACACTCATAAACCACAACATTATTGTGGTCGAAAAATGTGAACGATCCGGAGAAGTTGAGGAGCCGAGGGAGGGATGTTGAATATGGGTGCTATGAAAATAAAGTTGGATGATAGGGCAAGGAGCTCAAGTAGGGACGTTAGTTATAAGCAATATTGTCGGGACTTTAGGTGTATTTGGATATGAATGTATTGAATGTTAGGCCGAGAGACCTATGATTGCCGCCAAATGCTAGGGCAAAGAGCTTGAAAAGATAAGTTCTAAAGATTAAAATTGTATTTTTTGAGTATATTTTACAATCAAATTAGATTAACTTTAAACATAAAATAACTATCAAAACACATATTCATCTATTTTTTTACATTTAAAATAGTAAAACATGCTATTAAAAATTCAATATAAAATTATATAAAATCTATACCCTTTAAAACATCTATCTATCTATATATATTAATATTTGTTACAAACAAACAATTAAGGTCACATAACATAGAGAATAGCATTACTTTACCATGGTAACTATGCAACTACATTTTGTCTAAAGCTCTTGTAATGGTGGGTGAAAGAATTTAGATAATTATATGATGTCTGTAACACTTGATAATTTGTGGGGAGAGAAATTGAGCTTTCATTTTGAAAGATATTTTTAACTGTTTTTTAAAATAGCTTTCTAGTTCAAAAATTTTTTTTGTATTAAAAAAATTGTTTTAAAAAACAACAAGAAAGTTGTTCCGCCCATAAGTATTCACGGCGGTAGAGAAATATAAAGTTGAACGTCTTAGCATTGTACCAAAATTTGGTACGCATACATATAAAGGGAGAGGGTGTAGCATTCATATGAGACATCAATATTTTTAAGTGAAAAAACCCTGAAAAAGGGGGAAAAACCTCGGGGCCTAGGTCAGTTTGAATGAATCCACCAGTATTTGCAGTTGATTACAAATGATGCCCTTCCTTGGGGGAAGGCCTTGGCTCTATGCACATCATATGCAGTACATCACATGGTGGGAATACAAAGAGCTACTATTGATGTGTTCATTTGGTCGGACGGGCTGTAGTTGGTGGGCGATGTAAGTTAGAAGGACACTAGTCAGCGGGCGACAGAGGTCAGAAGGATTGTAGTCGGTGGATGACGTAAGTCAAAAGGAACATAGTCGTCGGCCGACGGAGGTCGGAAGGACTGTGTCAGATAGAGGTCCAACAATAAACAAAAATCTAGCATCGGATAGATGTCCAGCGAAAACCCAACAACAGGCAGAAGTCCGGTGTCAGGTAAAGGTCCAACAATGAACATAAATCTAACATCAGATAGATGTCCGACGAAAACCCAACAACAGGCAGAAGTCCGGTGTCAGGTAGAAATATGACGACGAGCGAAGATCCCTCGGGTAGAATTCCAACGTCACTTGGGTGTCGGGCAGAACTCTAGCGCCACTTGGGAGTCGGGCAGAACTCCGGAGTTACTTGGAGATTAGATAGAATTCCGACGTCACATGGGTATAATTCCGACTTTACTTGGGCGTCGGGTACAATTTACGTGTCACTAGAAAGTTGGGCAAAATTCTTGCATCACTTGGAAGTCGGACGGAATTCCGGCGATACTTAGAAGTCAGGCGGAATTCTAGCATCACTTGGAAGTTGTGCAGAATTATGACGTCACTTGGAAGTCGGACGGAACTCCGGCTTCACTTGGGCAGAATTCTAGCGTCGCTTGGGCAGAATTTCGACGTCACTTGGCCGCGCGTTGGGCAGAATTCCGACGGTGGTCGAGGAGCAGTTTATTCCCTCTTACTCTTATGTTCTTCTTCTCATTGCTTGGGTCCCCTCTTAAGAGAAATGAGGGGCTATTTATAGTTTTCTGAGAGTGGCATGACCGCAAATAGAAGGATGATCAAGGACAAATGTGGAGTGATTAGGATGGACGGCCGATATTGAATCCCTTGATCCTGGACTGTTTGTCAGATATCTTAAGGTCTTAATGATATCAGAATTTGAAGATCTTGGACTCGTTGGATTCGTCTCGCTGAGCCCCTTGATTCGACTTTAAGCATTTCATGTTTGGAAACCATTTGGTAATCCAAATTGTGGTTTGAACTTGCCAACAACGCTTCAGGTCTTTGATTCGGACTCATTTGGGCTCATATTGAATTGAATTTGGTGGCGCTGGGTTTGTATTTCCGAGACCCAGTTCGACTGTAAGTTTGTTGAAATTGGAGTTCAGATGATCCCAGATTTAATTTTTGAAGTTTCCAACTTAATTTTTGCCTTGAGATTTGTGTCCGATCAAGATATTTTTTTGTTGATATATCAAAAGTAGTCCCAAAAGATGCCAAAATCTTAACTCAATTGCTCTTACATCTTCTGTTAATGCCCTAATTCTTCCTAAGATTATTTATTTATAGCAATCCAATAGATCTAAAACTCAATATCTATCAAATATTCATTTACATTTACTCCTTCCATACATTGGCTTCATCTATTTTTCAATTATAATATCGTTCTGAAAATCTGCAAGCCATCATGGAACATTTGTGAGCCTTGGGTCCTCACTCGGGTTTCGCAGCGGCAAAAAAGACGCCGCCTGCCTTGCGCGCTAAAATTTGAAGATGGAGAATTGGAGCGAAGCAAAAATCTCATTCTCACTCATCGTCCGTCGAAAAAACCCTTGCCCATCTCACAAGCCCCGCAGCCTTCTCCGTCCTCGAATGCCCTCCGGCGTTTCAGTGGCGGTCCCTTGTGCCTCCTGCCATCATGGGACGCACCATTTCTAGGGTTTTGCTGTCGTTGGATCTCTGTAAGCTCCTAGTAATCTTTCCCCTTCTTTTTTCTGTTCTTTTCGCCGCCTCCTACTCCCCTTCGGATTTGGAGGCATTTGTGGGCATCGATTCAAGAACTTGTTTTTGAATCGCATACACAATTCTACAGCCTCAACCAATTGTTACCGGATTTGCAGTTTTGTTTTTCTTCTTCTAGTGGAATGACATTACATGAATGTATTCAGAATTGCTTTCCCTTTATTTCAGCTTTCGTAGAAAGGCTGGAGTGTTAGCTCGATCACAGAAAAAAATTATTGTGGCGTGTTTATTATATTTTGAAAATATTGTTGATAGGTTCATGCGATACAAAACGTTGAAAATTAGATGGCCATCGAAATACTCATTTTGAAGCATTTGACATGCCACAACGTTTCAAATTATTAGTTGTATCGAATGGCTTTTGCCTTGTAGATGACTAGCTTACTTGTGCTTATAAATGGTTGGTATAGCGCTTAAAAACAAAGACCTACTCCAAAAAGTCCTTTGATTGGTATTCTGGATGCATTTTTTATGATAATACGGTTTGAGCCTTATTTTAGGATAAAGTTTGGTTGTTATGACTTCTTTAGTTATTCACTGATGGGAAAAGTCATATTGGTGGTGGAAGCTGCCAATGCAGCCAGTTGTGTCAGTTCAGGGCATTTAGGTCTTATTCAGTACGTGTAGATTGTGCAAAATTGTAGTCTTTCTAGTTCTTTTAACTTAGTTTTCACAGCATTTGAAAACCATGGAAATCATGAGATGCCTGCCATATAAACATGCTTTACTTCGTTTCACATACAAAGATAATAATAAGAATATGAAATTTTGTTCATCTTAGTAACTTTTTCACTTGTGTACTATTTAGCATGTTATCTATTGCTATGCCATGCTTAATCAGGAGAAAAATCATGTTATCTGTTGAAACATACATATTCGTTTATCCGATTTCATTGAAATGAAGAGTGAACATGTTATTGTTTAAATTACATGTTTGCCAGCGCAAGGCTTCTAATCCTTTTTTTTTTCTGTTTTTATTCACTGATTGGGTTGGAAAACTCATATTGGTTTGATTAGAATTGGTCTTTTTATAAAGCTAGCATGAAGGTGATAGGATATATGGTATAACTTTACTCACTTTTTTCAGGTTTAACTCTGTACATCTAAAAATTACTTGGTTTTCTACCCCACATTGCTCATGCACATGTCTGCTAATGAGTAACTTCGAACGATCCAGGTACACTAAATTGGCCATACAATAACTTATTTCGAAGATTTAATGTCATTATCTCTTTTTTTTTTAAGAAAAAAATTGTTTATACCTAGGTCTTTTAATATTCCTTTATTTCTTAAGGCTTCAATGCTTATTCCTCTTGTCTTTATGTGCGACAGAAGTGTGATTGGTAAGGAATGTGCTTCCAGGGACAATCCTCCTCAAGTTAACTGGGCGCAACATGTTCTTGGTCTGGAGAACTTCTCATCCCAATATAAATTTTTAAGTGCAAATTTTCTCTTCTCTCTACCCACGCAGAGGTTTTGTCTTGAAATCAATGACGGAGAAATGCTGTTAAAAAGGTAAATAAATTTATCATTCACCTTATTAATACAATGAAATAATAACGAGCACATATCTTATTTATCATTCACATTGAATATCACATAACTTGATTTATTTTGTGGTTTGAAAGAGTTTGTTTGGGCAATGATCGATAGTGTTGGACTAGATGGAGTCTCAGTTAGCTTTAATGTGGGTTTGGTTGGAGGCATGTGTGGGCATGGCTGCTCGAAATTAGTTTGATTTCAAGTTGAGCATTTAGTTTTGATTTTGTGTTGAGCATAACTTTCTCAAACTTAACTCAATACCGAACCTTCATGCAATGATGGTTATGAGAAACACTGTATTTACTGATTCCTATTGTTATGTTACGCTATATGGTTTGTGTACAAAAATAAAATAAATGTAAGGATTGCTTTAACATTTTATTGCTTTTTTATGCAAAGCATGGAGGTTTATAGAGATTCATTCAAGAGACTTATAATGGAAGTAAATCTTAGTTAATTAAAAAAAAAGAATCCCCAAGATACTTTTTTATTTTTGTAGTTAGTTTTTTTTTAAATTTAATTTTATTTAGTTTCAAGTACTTTCTCTTTATACATTGTACATGTTGAAACACTTGCATCAGGAATCTCCAGCTGACTGATCCTAAGTAAATTAATCTTTTTTTTTTCTTTTGCTTGTCTTGTTCTCTGTCTTTAAGAACATCTGCAGAGCTGCAAAAGCATCTGGTCTTGGTTAGTAATGTTCTAATTTGGTATTTTGAAGCTATACTAATGGCACTTTATTCTTTTTAAATGTTCATCCTGAAACACTTGCATCCAGGAATTACTTCATCTATGTAATCCCATGTTATTTAGGCTATCTGCATTTTTCCCAATCATCTTGTCGTCTGGTTTGTTTAAGCAATCGTGCAGAAACATCTATTCTTGGTTAAGGATGTTCTGGCTTTATCTTTTTGCTGCTATTTGTGTTTATTGTTTCTTTTTAAGCTGGTCTTTTTAAATTTTCTTCTTTGAAGGAACATGATGTTTTTTGTCTAGTTTCGTCTGTCCAAAAATTATATAGCACTGCTTTTGATTTAACTGCATAATAATGCATTAGTCAAAGGCTTTTGCTTTGAAGATGAACAATGTTAAATGATAAGCCAAAAGCTTAAATTTAAATAAAAGTTATAAGTATTACCTTCACTGCACCTTGCTGATATTCTTAGGTTAAATGTTATGCATCAAGGTGTGTTCCTAATCTTGTTTCTTATCTACCTTTTTTGTTTGTTGATTTAGGCCGATAATTTACAACATTCAAAAAACAGGAACGTTGCAAAGTTTACAGGTTGAGAAGGTATGTTGAGCGTGCTATTTAAAAAAAAAAGAAGGATATATTTCATGGACTTCTATCTTACATTCTATCATAAATAAAAGTTCTTTTTCTCCGAATTTATCTTCTAATTGAAGCTTATTTAATTTTAGCCGGCACTTGCAGATGCTTCTCGTCTCTTGATATTGTTACTCTGTTTACCTCCTACTCTTTAATTTTGTTTTCTATTAGGCCTGGAAAGCTCTTTTCAATGGCCATCTGAGAAACAAGAATTACCTAAGGCCTGGAATCACTGCTCCTGGTAATAATCCTAGGGGAAATGCTGTTGTAACTGAGGGCATAAGTTCAGCCAGCACTTTGAAGGAATCTTTGAGTTTTCAAAGAGCTGGGCCGTCGGCCTACAGAAATCATTTAGCATACCAAGGGGGTTCGAACCCGTCTTATGAATCAGAGGCTGGTAGCAGTGGTTCCTTAAAACACACTGAACCTTCATCAAGGATCAGCATTGCTTTGAGTAACGTTAATGTGGAGTCTACAGTGTTACGACAAAATGTAAAAGGAACTTCAGTGCCTTCTGGTAACTCAACCCCTGAAAATAGTGAGGCTTGGCATGCTACGGATGATGAAATTATGGAGGTAGAAATTAGTTCTTGTTGATTAGTTTAAACTTTGTTAATAAATTTATGATACTTGTTGGTTTACTTACTCATCAACTTGTTTCAGAATATTGATGTAGATCGGATAGTCATGGACCACTATCAAGCTGTAGGTACACCTCATGGATCTGTATCAAAAAATATGCAATCCTCTCCAAATTGCTGTGAAAATAACGTTGCAGCTTTGAGTGGGCATACCTTGCCCCAAGAACTGTGTGAACAATGTAAACATGGCTTTAAAGTATGTGACTGCTATATATAATTTTTTTGGGTTAATTCCATTTATTTGCCTTAAAAGATAGTCAATATTACACTTACCTCATCTCTGTTTTTAAGAAATTAAAATCGCCTCCCTTGTTGTTAGATATTACATTTCATGTTAACCTTAGTCCATTTTTTGAAATTGCACTTACATCTGTTTTGCTGGATATTATGTTATAAATTATCCCCCAACTCTTTACCTAAAAATTCAGAAATTGAAGGTAAATAATTTCAGAAAACATAAACTTCTGGACGGCAAGTAATTTCAGAAAACATAAACTTCTGGACGGCAAGTAGTTTCAGAAAACATAGGAAATAAAGTATAATATTGACCATCTTCCGAGGAGATAAGTGTTATCAGCCTTTTTTATTTTTTTGAATTTTTGCAAGCTATTTACATAATAATGGTAACGTCCATTTCGTTAATGTTGCAGCTAGCACTTTGTCCAAATGCTTCAAATCATCTGCAGGAGATGAAGGACAGGTTGATTACCATATCAAATGAGCTTCTTGACAATGCTGGTAATCTAAGTTCTACGCAATTTGAAGTCCTTCGCCAAGAAAGGTGCGCATATTTTGTTTTGGTTATCATTTGTTTTAATATTTTTTCAATGCATCTTTATTTACTTGTCAACGAATCTATGATGTATATTTTTTGCTTGGTTGTGCATTTCTTGGCTAGATTGCTTCTGAATAAGCAAATCCAGCAGTTAGAGAAACACCTGCAAGATGTAGGAAGACAAAGATCACATGCTATGACCTCAACGGCTCCTGCTCGCAGTTTTCTAATTGATACCCCAATAAGCAGAACTGCTGCTGATGCTGTGAGATTTGATTCCCAGGTTCCTGGGCCAAATGAATTTGTTAACCATGGAAATTGGAGTTCTCCACTGCCATCATCAACTACAGACAGGCTACATTCTTCATTTGCTCCTGTGGAAAGGGAAGTATTTACACCAAACCTTTTTGAAGTTAAGTACATTGAAGGTTCTGGTGACATAAGGTGGAAAAGTGTGGACTTTTCATGGAACAAGAAACTTGAGGTGCCCTTTCACTGATAAGTGATAATTTCCTACTTGTATTTTCGAGAAAAAGTCAAAATGATCGTCAACTATATTAAATGAATATTTTGATCCCTCAACTCCTCAAAAGGAATCAAAATAGTTCTGCGATAAGATTATTTTAATTCTTTTTAAAAATTTGAGGGATCAAAATAGTCATCAAATATAGCTTAAGACTATTTTACTATTTCATAAAGTGTCCAATGAATCATTTTGACTCTTCATAAAGAGTCAAAGGATCATTTTAATCCTTTTTCTTTGCTTTTTCACTATTCTTATCAGCTTGTCTGTTCTTGCCATTTTCCTAGGCCTACAACAGGAAAGTATTTGGAAACCATTCCTTCCGCCCTAATCAAAGGGAGGTTATTAATGCAACAATGAGTGGCTACGATGTTTTCGTCCTAATGCCAACTGGTGGTGGGAAGAGCCTAACCTACCAGGTTGATCTGTTTTTTTGTGTCTTGTAATTATGTTTGATTGTATTTTTGTCTTCCAAGGATCAGGGTGTAAAATCTCATTTATGTTCTATTACTATACAAGTGTTTCTAAGCTGGTTGTACTCTTATACATTTGACAATTGACATTATCAATAACTTGACTTTCTTCGTATGCAAACTAGTAAAATATTCTTTTCCAATTAAGTGATGTTATTTTACTTGTTTATGGTCGAAGAATTCTTACCTTTATACTTGTACTCTGATTTCACATCTCCTGCAGCTTCCTGCCCTCATATGCCCAGGATTAACATTGGTGGTTTCACCTCTTCTTTCATTGATCCAGGACCAAATAATGCATATTCTGCAGGTGTTATTGGCTGCCTAGCATTTGATTGTTACAGTTTCATGTACAATGATTCTTTTCTATGCTTTTTACAATGATGCAATAATCACAGGCAAATATTCCTGCTGCTTACCTCAGTGGCAATATGGAGTGGGCAGAGCAGCAAGATATCCTTAGAGAATTACAATCTGACACCTGTAAATACAAGTTGCTATACGTCACTCCAGAAAAAGTTGCAAGGTGAGTTGCCAGACCGTACATCTTTAAGAATGCATATTATTATTTTAGTATGTATAGTACTTGTCTCATATTATGATTGTCATTTGCATGATTTACTTTATTTGCTTGAGTATATTAGCAGAATTGGATACTAACTGTGCCAATTATAAGCTTTATGCTGATGCAAGAAGGTGGCACCTGGTGTTTATATTAGGCGATGAATTTATGGTGCATTTGAATTAAGAGAGGCTTCTTTGGAACCTTTAAGAAATTAGATACAAGAACGGTGGATCTATTTAAAATTTTGTAGCCCATTGAACTAGCACTTCTAGAATTTTTTGAAGCCCATGAAGTTTTAGAATTAATTTAGTTTTTAATGTATTTGATTTAATCTTATTTCATGAATCTATACATGTTGTATCTGGATCTATTCTAGATGATGAAGTTATTTCAAGAGTGAAGGAAGGAGATTAGAGGTAAGAATTCACTTAAGGTAAGCATTGCTTCGATGTTTCACTTATTTTCTAATTGAAGAAATTATAATTGTAGGAAGAATTCACTTAAGGTAAGCATTGCTTCGATGGTTCAATAGTGAAGGAAGGAGATTAGAGGTAAGAATTTATTAAAGTAGAATTTTTATGAGAATAGTGAAAATTGAAAGATGATAATAATATGTTTTATGTGAATTTAGAGATTTTAATAATGAAGATTGTCGCAAGTGTTGAAGGTTTGAAAGGAGTTGAAGCCAAAACATTTAAAGTGGATAATTGCATGATTTTTATTATTGTATTTTTATTTTCATTATGGATTAAGTATTTTATATAATTGTTTTATTATTTATGTCTTATTTTAGAAACTATCATGAGTAAGGCAATGTATTCAAATGCATAGATGATGGGAGAAATAGAAATAGAAATTTTTATAGTTGAAAATGACTGAAATATTATAAGAATATGAAAGTATATGAATATGTGAAAGAAAATACATAAAAATGAAATAGAAAGTGAAATTGGAAAGTATTTATATATACATGATACGTGTGTGTATACATATATATATACAATAATAATAATAATAATAATAATAATAATAATAATAATAATACATTTAAATAATGAATAAAGAAATTATATAACTTATAACTTATAGAAGCATAAATGAATTAAAGAGAATGAATGAAAAAAAGTGCAAAGATATGCATGCAAATTACATGAATTTATCCCCGTATGGTACTGGCTAGGGAAACAACGTACCTGTGCACGTTAAATGAAAATGAAAATGGTTGTACATTTATTGGTATATTTAGACGGTGCTTCTGTACTAATTGAATTAGAAAAAAAAATAAATATTGAATTATTATGAAAGGTATATGATATGAAATGTATAAATGAATGAATGAAATCAAATGAAAAATAAGTATATTAAATGCTATATGAATATATAGGTATCAAATGTTATATGCTTTGTATTTTATACATGTTAATTGTTATTTATATAGAAAGGCTACCCACTAAGTTTACATTATAAACTCAACCCATTAAACTGATAATTTCAAGTACGTCTTCAAAAAAATAGAAATGTCTGAAAGAGGAGGAATACGTCTATAGAAGATGGCACAAAAAAACAAGCAACTAATCCTTGATTTATATAAATGTTAAATATTTGTGAAGATTTTATTTTTAGTTTGATATATTAAATGTTATATGAATATACATGTATCAAATGTTATATGCTTTGTATTTTATACATGTTTAATTGTTATTCATATAGAAAGGCTACCCACTAAGTTTACATTATAAACTCAACCCATTAAACTGATAATTTCAGGTAAGTCTTCAAAAAAATAGAAATGTCTGAAAGAGGAAAAATACGTCTATAGAAGATGACGCACAAAAACAAGCAAGTAATCCATGGTTTATATAAATGTTAAATATTTGTGAAGATTTTATTTTTAGTTTGATGAAAAATTTTTAGTGGCTCTTAGGTCTTTGTGGATTGTTACAAATTACTGTTATATGTAATGCAAGTGTAGTAATTGTCTTATCCATCTGACTGTCAGTTCCCGTCTCGTTAGTTCAAGTATCTGGGTTGGGTCGTGACATATTAGGTGGTAATTTGTGATTGCAATCATTTAGTCGTCAGGTTGTTGTTTTGTCGACTAATAAATAAAAAAGAGAAAAATGCGCTGTTTCAGATCGAAACGAACAGTAAATGAACTTACGCTCGTTTCAATTTTAAAACCTCACTTCCTGGAATTTTTATTAGGTCCGGTGTCCTGACGTAGCTCTACGTTCAAACCCCAATAACATGTCGCCACGTGCTCTTACTTTTTACCGCGCAACCCGACGACCTGACCCGGACCTGAACCCGGGATTGCTATGTTCGCGTATTGCTAGGCATTGCTTGACAATAATGAGAAATATCGCTCTGGAAGACCAATACCGAGCAATACCTAGCAAAACCGGGATATTGCTCGGTATTGGTCTTCACAGAATGATATTTATCGTTATTGCCGAGCAATATCGAGCAATACATTGCAAAACCCTAGTCTGCACAAATCAGTCAATATATAGCAATCCCGGGCCGGGTCCGAGTCGGGTCGTCAGGGCCGCTCGGTAAAGAGTAAGAGCACATATCACCATTTTACTGCCTTCGATTGTAGAGTTAGGTCAAAAACCCGACCTAATAAAAATTCCACTTTCTGGCTCTCATCTTTACACTTCCTGAACATTACCCCACGTGGCACCTACCCGCTCCGCCTGATCAGCCCGACTACCCACGCCTACGTGAACCCCTGCCTCCGTTCGTCCGATCGCGCCCAACAGATGAAACACCCGCGCCCGACTTGCGATTAGCCTAATTACTCACACCCACGCCGCCTTCTGATTCCGTTCTAGCCCGTCGCCTCCAACGTGGGTGAAAAAGTCTCCAACTCGCGCATAAAAGCCTACTACCCATGCCTCTATCCGCGCATGTTCACGTCCGTGCGGCACTCCCGCTTCTACACATGACCAACACATCTTCTGCCTCCTGAGCGAATTCCTGTGTTTATTGCTTCAGTATGTGTGCTTCTTCTGTTTGCTTGCCCCAATCTTGTTTGCTTCCTGTGCATAAACTAGCTCAACTATTCATCCCTATTCACTTAAAATGAAACCTGTCCTCTCCCGATTTTAGTTCAAGATAGAAGGCATTGGTTTAAGTTGAAAGCACTGTTTATTTTTCCTCTATTTCACATAGGTTGATCAACAGCATTAGTTTAAACCGTAAAATAAATTAAATAGAGTTTTGTTTTTAGTAAACATACATTTAAATTTGAAGACCCCGTGCCATTGATCTATGATGTGAGTGAGAATAATTTCAATTTGAAGATTTGCGCCGTTGAACTTTGATCCGAGCATGATTTTTGTTTTACTTCGAAGTTCCTCCCCCATTGATCTTTGATATGGGCGATAAGATTTTTAATTTTAAGACCTGTGTGGTTGATCTTTGATTCGGGCAGATTTTTTTTTTTATTTGAAGTCCCGGGTCGAAGAGTATGTCTTAATGTCCGGTCCCTCGAGAAACTGGCTAATTTGAAGTACTTCAATTGGTAGCCTTGATATTTGATCAAGGCAGGATGAATTTTATAATAGAAGGCCTCACGCCGATGATCTTTGATCCGGGTGGGATGAATTTGAAAATTGAGGGCCTCGCACCGTTTATCTTTGATTTAGGCGGGAAGTACACACGACAAATGCCGTCCCAACTTCTCGCGAGGCGGGGATGCCGGAAGGTTGTCAAATTTACTTTTGGAGCTATCAGAGAATAATTTGAGAATTATATTATATTTTTCAAATAATTAATTCATTAATTTAAAATCTCATTTAATCAACATTTAATCAATTAAATAATTAATTAAGTAATTAAAAAATAAATTAAAATTAATTTAGAATAAAAATAAAACATCACTTAATTAATTGAATAAATAATTAATAAATCAATAATCTTATTTTTAATTAGTTAATTAATCAATTTAAAATAATAAAAGTTAAAAACTCATTTTAATTAATTAGTTAATCAATTTAAAATAAAATTTAAAAAAATCTCATTTAATTAATTACCTAATTACGTAATCAATTAAAAAAAAAACACTAGTGATGAGGTAGTAGACAAGTGCAAAGCTAAGTATCTGCTGCTAAAACCACCCTAAGCCAAACCTAATGGCAACTTCTAAATGGAAATATAATCCCCGACCTAAATTAAACATAGGGACAACTTATAAATGGATTCATTAGCCCCGAACCAAGTCAAACATACGGGCAATTCCTAAGTGGAGTTGTAAGCCTTGAACCAAATCAAACATATGAGCAACTCTTAAGTAGAGTTGTAGGCTCTAAACCAAATTTAACAAATGGGCAACTCCTAAGTAGAACCGTATGCCCCGAACCAAATTAAGCAAACGAGCAACTCCTAAGTGAAGTGGTAAGCCCCGCAGTAAATCAAACACATGGGAAACTCCCAGGTGGAGCTCGTAAGCCCCATCTTAAATCAAATCACCGGGCAACTTTCAATTGAAACTGTAAGCTCCAAACTAAATCCAACCCTGGGCAACTCCTAAAAGGATTCATAAACCCCAAACTTGAATAAACAAATAAAAACAAACCTCTAACCACCTCAGTCTACTCGGGATCCCTCAGAGAATGCAATCTATGGTTGCTAATTAGATTCACTGGACACTACAACCGATGATTTGTTAGCATTGGTAGATTGATATTTACAATATTCTTGGGATGACGGAACCATAGAATCTTGATTGTGTCTACCGCCATCCCCCAACAAACGAGAATAAAACTTAAGCTTCCTTAGCTACGCTAGAGTGATTCTTCCTTAATCGAGAGTTTTCTCTTACGCAATAAGAGGGATAATTAACTATGAGGACTTGTGCTCTTAGGTAGTAAGGACCAAGATCTAAATCAATCCTGATACAATCTTCGGAGAAAATCTAGTTTATTAAACTATAATATGCATTACGGAGAATGAAATTCTAAGTTTGCAAAGCGGTATTCCTGCCGAAACGCTATTTTTCTTGAGCAAACATGTTGATCTCAGTTCAATACGATTAGCAAGATGGAAATGATGCGCTTCATCTGATGAAAGCACATATATAGAAGGAAGTGTTTGTCTGCATGTGAATGGCACAGTGGAGTCTGTTGGACGCTTGAGATCATTTCATAAACTCAAACTGCTGCACAATCAAGATAAATCATATAACCAAATTCATCCACCCGAAATTTGTAATTGAACTCCTGCATGAATTCCGAGCTTT